TTGGATTTATACCCTGCCCTTCACTTGGAGTCTCAGAGCGGCTTACAAACTCCTTTCCCTTCCCCTCCCCACAACAGACACCCTGTGAGGTGGGTGGGGCTGAGAGAACTCTGACACAAACTGCTCTTTTTCAAGGACAGCTGTGCCAGAGCTTGTGACTGACCCAAGGTCACATCAGCAGGTGCAAGTGGTGGAGTGGGGAATCAAACCCGGTTCTCCCAGATTAGAGTCCGCGCACTTAGCCACTACACCAAACTGGCAGATTAAGGATACATCTGCCCATCAATCTCCAATTCTGACATATTTATTTCCTTCACTATGTCCCCGCCCCCCAGAATTAAACCCAAAGAAATGGTGACCATATAAACCGAGTTTGTGATTCCTGTTAGGTCCTTGCATCTGTTCAACACCTTCATTATGCTGTATGCTAATTTGCTGCTCACTCTCTAGCTATATGTATGGACTGGTAACTTCCATTTCAATATATCTGAAGAAGTGTGTGCGTGCACACAGAGGATAAACCTTGAATAAAACTTTGTTGGTCTTAAAGGTGCCTACTGGACTCAGACTTTATTTTGGATCCCACTCTTTTTAGGGACTGTGCACTTATGTGCATGTGGCCAGGGCTGGCTGCGACTTGATGCTCCGTAACATCCTGCCCGAAACCCTCCCAAATTGCCCCAAAGAAGAACACAAAATCAGACTTGCCAGTTTTATTCAGTCTAAGAGCCAATTTGGTGTAGTGGTTAGGAGCACGGACTCTAATCCGGGAGAACCGGATTTGATTCCCCTCTTCTCCACATGCAGCTGCTGGTGTGACCTTGGGTGAGTCCCAAGTTCTCTCAAAACTGTTCTCTCAGGAGCAGTTCTTGGAAGAGCTCTCTCAGCCCCACCTGCCTCACAGTGTGTCTGTCGTGAGGAGAGGAAGGGAAGGAGATTATAAACTACTCTGAGTGTGTGACCTTAGGTCAGTTACAAATTATTTCAGAGCTGTTCTCTCAAGGGCAGTTCTCGGGAGAGCTCTCTCAGCCCCACCTACCTCACAGGGTGTCTGTTGTGGGGAGGGGAGGGGAGGGGAAAGGAGTTTGTAAGCTGCTCTGAGACACCTTTGGGTAGTGAAGAGCGGGGTATAAATCCAATCTCTTCTTCTTCTTTTCTGTTTGGTGTAGTGGTTAAGTGCACCGGATTCTTATCTGGGAGAACCGGGTTTAATTCCCCACTCCTCCACTTGCACCTGGCTGGATGACCTTGGGCAAGCCGTAGTTCTGATAAGAGCTGTTCTTGAAAAAGAGCAGTTTCTGTCAGAGCTCTCTCAGCCCCACCTACCTCACAGGGTGTCTGTTGTGGGGAGAGGAAGGGAAAGGAGTTTGTAAGCTGCTCTGAGACTCCTTTGGGTAGTGAAGGGCGGGGTCTAAATCCAATCTCCTCCTCCTCCTTCTGGCACCTGGGTTTTGGCCCCTGTGTGACACAGAGTGTTGGACTGGATGGGCCATTGGCCTGATCCAACATTGACTTCTGTTCTGTTCTTCTGTTTCAATGTATCTGAAGAAGTCTGCGTGCACACGGAAGCTTATACCCAGAACAAAACTGCGTTGGTCTTAGAGGTGCCACTGGACTCAGCTTTTTTCTGTCTCCTGGGAGAGAAAGCATGTCTCCGAAGCAGATAGGAGAGTTGGCAGTCAAATAAAGGTAGATCATGGAGCAGACAGAAACCCCTCAGCTGTGTCAGGCCACAGTGAGAGTACAATCTGTTTTGAAACATGTAGTTTACAGCCAGGGGTCATTTCCTGCAGTAGTGCACAGGAGCGGAGCTCCGGCAGTAAAGAGCCCAGGGAGCGGGAACATGCAACCATCCCCACCCCCTGCTCCCAGCAGCCCTCAGTCAGAGCAAGAAGCAGTCAGGTAAGTTGCGGAGCTCTCCCCCGCCCCCCGGTCCAAAACAGTCTATTGGCACCTTTAAGACCAAGTTTTATTCAGGTACAAGCTCTCCCTCCTCTGCAAGGACAGATCTGCACGTCCCCCCTCCCCGATAGCTAGCAATCCAAGAGAGTCCAGTGGAGCCTGAGCGGTGGGTGTTGCCTTCTGACACACTTCCGGTGATGTCAGGGGGTGTGGCATATGCAAATAAGTTATGCTAATGAGATATGCTAATGAGCGCCTGCATCTCTTCTTCAAGAAATGACCCCTGTTTACAGCCGAGAACTTGAACCTCCAGCCTATTGGTCAAATTCCAGTGCTGCTCAAAACGAGCTTTTGGTCAATATGAAGTGAACGCCGACCAGGATTCAAGGGGTCTTCTTTGCCAAGGCATGAGGGGTTGGATCAGGCAGGGGACGAAGGTCTATCACAGCAACTGGTCCCAGAACGGGAGAAGAGTGAGCAGTTCCATAGTGGGAATTCAAATCGACTTCGAGAGGTGATGCTTATAGGCGAGAGGACTTCTTGGAATCACTTAAGATGAGCAGAGCTAAAAAAAAAGAAAGTGCAATTCAGCTAGACAAGACAGATGTCTCCAGGCAGCTTGTGTGATACATATAATCTAGAGAGATCCACGGGAACAAGTTATAATAAAAAAAAACATACACATCTGTGAAATTATAACTATGACGACAGCTTTGATACTTCAGTATTTTCTTATTATAGTGCATCTATCTTTACAACTGTACGTATCTTGGTTACAATAAATAATTCATTCTCATTACCAATAGTCCGTTCTTAACTATTCGTATGATGAATACGAACACAAAAGAAGCGGGGCGAATGGTGGCAGACGGAGTTATGAGTGGCAAATGACTAGAGCAGAGAACACTTTCAGAGAGAAAGCGGCTACAAACCTTTGAGACTTTGGAATGCCTTTCCGGCTAATGTCAACAATCCCCCAAGATGGCGAGGAGAGGTGCTGAGGGAGGCGGGGCCCAAGCTTCTTCAGGAAGAAGAAGATCGGTTAGGTCAGATGGCCAACCATAGACTCTTCCTCTAACCAAATTGGGTGACATCTGCTGGCTGAATGGAAGCGGCTTTTAAAGGGACAGTAGTTTGCGACGGAGAGGCGTGGTGCCATGGATCAGGGCAAACTCGGAACTGTATGGAAAGTTAATAAGCGCATGTCCGATGGAATAGATAAGCGCATGGAATTAATAAGCATATGTCCGCATGTCCGATGGAATAAAAGGAGAGACTCTTTGGTCCAAGGCAAAGGAGGAGGCGTGGACTGTTCCTGGAGAGGCGGTACGCAGGAGACGGTCAGAACAGAATTTGATGAGACAACATGGAAAGAAGAGGATACTTTGGGATCACAAATGCTGGTTCTTGGGGGAAGGAGGGCTGGGTTGCCATTGCCTTTAAAGGGTTTTGTTTTATGTTTGATAACACAGGAATTGTTCTCTGTCTAGTCTTAATAAGCGAGTTATGTTAACTGAGATGACGATTAGGTGAACTCCTCATGCTGGAATGCAACTGTTAAAGAGTAACAATATTTTCTATAAGCAATGTGTAACCTCCAACCTTGGGCTTTTAGTAGATTTCCTTTTTCTTTTTCCCTTAGTTTGTAGTGGTCCCTTCCTTTTTTTCTTGGTAGTTTTGTAGTTTATTTAGAAATGCAAATAAAAAAAATTCCCCTTCGGGGGGCCAAAAAAAAAAAAAAGTGCCTACAAATGTTCTCTCCAAGATTAAAGCGCTTGTGCTGTAGTAAACGGTCTTACGTCTTTTGTTCTTTCAAATTCAGTAACTGTGGGTCATTTAAGGATGTTCTAATGAATGCCATCTCAGCGCACATTGGCCCTGGTGAGTGTGCCAATCCCATAGAGCTATACTAAGTTCCCTGACAAATTACGGATGCACCAAATTTCACAGCCTGCTTTTTCAGCTCAAACACACCCCATTTTGCTTTTCCTTTGAGCAAATTGAACCCCATAGACTCTTTCACATTTTTGTTTCCTTGCTTATATGTCTCCGTTGCTTCCTTTTTCTCCTTTTCCACATGCGTTTTCCTCCCTCTAGTGGTCGATTCGATATTACATCATTGTATGTCTGGCATAAGAGCCTGAAGTTTAAATCAGCACGTTTCGATGCCGAATGTACAGCAGTGTAATATTGAATTGACAACTAGAGGGAGCAAAACACAAGCCTAAAAAGAAAAAATCCCGAAAGGTTGAAGAGCCCCGTGACTCTCTTCCCTTTTTCCCTGTGCCAAATTTGTCCTGTCTAATTTACATAGTTTCTAATGCTATTTTTACAGCAATTGCTTTTAAGTGACGTGAAAAGAACAACCGACGGCAGAACTGCGGCAGCAGAATTGAGCAGAATGGGAAGGCTTACACCCTTCCTGCAAATCATGCGCTTACCTGTGGCGTCTGCGTGAAGGGTCTGTCCATCCTTGCTCCTCACCTGGCCAGACAGGAACATCTTCCTCCCCTCCATCTTCTCTATTTTGCTGTCCACCAGGACCACGGAGCCCAGTCGTATGGGGCTGCAAGGGGAAGTCATTTGGCTCTTAATACAGCTGGCTCCAAAAGCTCTTCCGCCAGGCTTTTGGAGCTGCCACCCCCCCACTTTCACTGCTATTACCACTGGGAATGCCAACTGACATCATATGGCGAAGAGCCCTGATCTACTGGACCTCTAATAACTGCCCGAGCCAATTCCCCCTCCTCTATGGCATCTGAAGTATCTTTTATGGTATCCAGTGCAGACCAACGGCACTGATGCATAAGACTGGCACTGTATTATTATATTTGGTTTCAACATAGTATTTTAATGTTGTGTTTATTATTGAGCTGCGGTGGCTCAAGTGGTTAAGACGCTGAACTGCAGGCTGTGGAGGGTCGGTAGTTCAGCGGTTCGAGATCCTAGTCCGCTCACCTCTTATAGTTGACGTTGAGATTCACCACAAAGCCTCTGCCAGCGACGGCGACGACGCATGCCGTGAAGGCGTTGTCGAGGATGGTTGCGATGCAGCCACCATGCACCATACTGGAAAGAGGGAGGGAGAATCCGATAACTATGCAGGGTTGGAGAAGAGGTTGCAAAGGGAAAAGACTCGCAATCCGAAGTATGGAACTTGGCTGTGGGTTCCTCGTGGGGAACGGGCCGTGTTCATAAGGGGTGGCTGTTAGGATGAAGGTGCGTTTGCCACCTCTGAGGTGGTGGGGATGGATTGGAGGAATGCAGGGCAAGATGGAAGTTGCCCAGATCCTGTGTGCCATCAAAGTGGTGCTGAGTTATGGTGACCCTGTAGAGTTTTCGAGGCAAGAGAGGAACAGAGGTGGTTTTGCCATTGCCTGCCTCTGCGTAGCAACCCTGGACTTCCTTGGTGGTCTCCCATCCAAGTACTAACCAGGGCCGACCCTGCTTAGCTTTTGAGAACTGACGAGATCAGGTGAGCCTGGGCCATCCAGGTCAAGGCAAGAGATGAGCAGAGGTGGTTTTGCCACTGCCTGCCTCTGCATAGCTACCCTGGACTTCCTTGGTGGTGAGGTCGGTGGGGCCGAGAGAGCTCTGACAGAAACTGCTCTTTTTCAAGGACAGCTCTGGTCAGAACTACGGCTTGCCCAAGGTCATCCAGCAGCTGCAAGTGGAGGAGTGGGGAATCAAACCCGGCTCTCCCAGATTAGAGCCCGCGCACTTAACCACGACACCAAACTGACAACTGTGTGCTCTATTTCCCGCAACATATTCATAAAGGAGACTTCATTTAAAGTATAATATATCTATTATATGAAGTCAATGTGCCCAACCAATCCATCCTAGGAAAATACAGAGGCCAAAGAGTAAATAGACAGGATTATATATAGAAAGCCCAACACTTTTCCCAGGTAGTTTTTCAGGGTTTCAGACCTCTGGTCCTTCCTCGGGAACAAAGAACCACTGCTGGGAATCCCTTTTCAGTTCCTTAATGCTTTTCTATTATCTCAATGTTGGGCAAGGTCTCCCTGGCTCTAAACGGCACCCTTAGAGGCTACTACAGTGTTTACAGGACCAAAACTTGCCTTCGAACAGAACAACGAGAGGTAACCCAATGCAGCGACAAAAAAAGGCTAATATGATCTTGGGGTGTATCCAGGGCCGGCGCGAGGGTTTGTGCGCCCTAGGCGAGGCCGCCTCGTGGCGCCCCCCTCAGATGCCATCCTCCCGGTGGGGCCTGGAGACCTCCCAGCTGGCCGCCTTGGGGGGGGGGGAGAGACAGGCAGACCCCAGGGCCTGGG